TAGTAATCTGGGTTGGCATCTGTGATCATTTAAAACTGGGAATACTTTGGTCCAAGCTCCTGGATTTCATAGTTTGCACCAAAAACTCAGCTGTAATCCTAATGGGTTTTCCTTTATATGTGACTTGTTGTTTCTCTTTTGCCACTTTCAGAATTGCCCCTTTGTTCTGAATGTTTAGTGTTTTTCCTATGCTGTGCCATAGAGAGTTTCTTTTCTGGTCCAGTCTGGTGTTCTATATGCTTCCTGCATTTGTATGGGCATATCTTTCTATAATTTGGGAAAATTTTCTTCCACAATTCTGTTGAAGATCTGGTCCATGCCATTATCTTGGGATTCTTCTTCTTCCTGTATGCCTATGATTCATAAGGTTTGTCATTTTATGGTCTCACACAATTCCTGTGTATTCCATCCTTGTGGTTTCTTAAACTTTTCATAATCTTTTCTTGAGTGGTCTAGTTCGTCCACTTTATCTTCCAATCTTGAAACTCTGTTTTCCGTTTCGTTCATCCTGTTGAGGCTTTCTCCTGTTGTTTCTACTTGGCTTACTGATTGTTTCACTTCCTTCTTCATTTCAGCCTGAGTATTCTTCAATATTTGTAACTCTTTTCTGAATTCATTCAGAAGTTTATCCCTATCTTCCTTCAGCTCTATGATTACCTTGTTTGTGTGTTCTTTAAATTCAGTGAATTCTTTTATCATATTCATCATTGTTCTTTTGAGATCCATGTCCTGCATTATCTCTAGGGGGTTCTCATTGCACTCCTGATGAGGACTATTAGTATTTGATGGGGATATGTTATTTTGGTTTTTCATGCTATTATTTTTTCTCTGTGATTTTGACATGTGAATTTCTTTTGTAGTTTCTGACTCTTGTGAGACTCAGACCTGCAAGTTTAGGTCTGATTCTTTTTGTGAACTTTATGTGTCTTTGTGGTTTACTTTTTTGGCATGAAAAGCTGGTTCATCTAAGCTTCTGGTTCTCTCTTTTGATTTTATATTGGAGTGGCCTGATTGATTTTGTCTTCAGGAGTTCCCACAGAGGCCCAATTGAGATGAGGGTCAGATGACTTCAGGCTTTCTCCTAAGATCTGGATCTCTCCAAGACCAATTTTGGCCTCAGGTATTTAGGGGTTGGACTGTCCTGGGAGCCTGGCCCAGAAAAGATGCTGGTCTAGGGCAGCTTGTGGCCATGCCACCCAGAGATGCAAAGGCAAATGGGGTGGGAAGAGGCCCCAAGGACTCCTGGGGACTGCACTGATGAGCTGTGTTGGTCTGGGTGCAAAGGATCAGGAATAGGAAAGGTCAGCTCCCAAGTCCAAGAAAGAGGATGGCATGTGGTGCAGGCCCAGGGAAGCAGGGGGAGTTGAGGGCAGGGCCAGGTCCAGAAGCAGTGCTCCTGGGTCCCAGGAAGGCACTATGTTGGTTTGGATGAAAGGGGTCAGTAAGCATTATTGGTTCTCCAGGTGTCTGGGGTCCCAAGACAAGGAATGGGGCAGGGCCCAAACTCTGAGGAGAGAAGGGTCAGGGAGATGGGAGGGTGAATGGGGGTGGGGGAGTCAGGACATGGAGGGCGTGATGGACTTACCCTGTAGAGAGGCCTGGGGGTGGGAGAGAGGAGAAAAAAATGTTGGTGATTTTTAAAAATTGATTTTGTACTCTGCCACTTTGCCGAAAGTGCTGGTCATTTCTACATGTTTTCTTGTGGAAGTTTTGGGATCCAATGTATAATACATTACATGCAAATAGGATAATTTGACTTCTTTTTCAATTAGTAAACTTTTATTTCCTTTGTCTTATTGCTCTAGTGAGGGTTTCAAGAACTATGTTAAAAAGAAGTGGAGAGAGGCTGGAGAGATGGCTCAGCAGTTAAGAGCACTGACTGCTCTTGCAGAGGACGGGGATTCGATTTCCAGCACCCACATGGCAGATTTGAACAGTCCTTAACTCCAGTTCCAGAGAAATCCAAAGCTGTCTTCTGACCTCGGCAGCATTGCACAACACGGGTGCACTTACATACATGCAGGCAATATACTCGTACACATAAAATGAAAATAATAAATAAAATTAAAAAAAGAAGCAGATATAGTGGGCAGCCTTGTCTAATTTTAATGTCTGTATCTCAAGTTTTTCTCAATCATTTAGAGTGATACTGCATGTGGGGTTATTGTATACAGATTTAATGATGTTGAGATATGTTCCTTCCAATCCAGTTCCCAGTAGGACCCTTACCATGGAGGTATGTTAGGTTTTGCTAAATGTTTAAATGTTTTCTCTGCATCTATTAAGATGATCATGTTCTTTCTTTAGGTCCATTTATATAATTTATTTTATTTATTGACTTTCAAACATTAAGATTTGTAAATAGAATCTACTGTAAATAAAAAAGTAATGAAAAAAGTTCAGAGATCAATTAAAAGTTTTAGAATATTTAAGAGAAATCAATTAATATCTAGGATCCATAAAAAACTAAAAATGTAAACCCCAATAATATATGGAAATATATTCAACATCCTTAATAATTAAAGATATTCAAGTAAAAACTACATTGAGATTTCACCTCATTCCAACCATAAAGGCTATCAGAAAAGTATAAATTAAACATTTATACCCTGCTGGTGGGAGTTGAAAAATGTGTATCCACTTTAGAAATTAATATAGAGATTCTTGTGAAAACTGAATGTAGAATTATCATATGATATTTCTGGGAATATACCCAAGAAATCAAATTCAGGATGCATCAGACACTCACTCATCTGTGTCATTTGCAAAAATGTTCAAAATGGCTAAGTTACAGATTGAGCGTGAGTGTTTATCAACATTTGACTGAATAAATGAAATATTGTCTGTACACACAACTTAGTTCTATTTTAACATAAAGAGGAATGAAATATTGTCATTAGCAGGATGATGGATGGAACTGGAAAATATCAGGTTAAATGAAAAACTCCAGACACAGAAGGACAAATATCATATCTTCCTTCATATGTGGAATACAGATTGTTATATACTTATATACAGATACCTAACTAAGTAACTAACCAACCAACCAACCAACCAACCAACCAACTAACTAACTAACTAACTATATCTGTGCGTGTGCACGTGCACGTGTGTGTGTGTGTGTGTGTGTGTGTGTGTGTGACAGAATATGGGAATATTTGGGAAAAGAAAGATAACTAGATATCAGAATAAGGAAGGATCAGATAGGGTAAAGAAAGTGCATTAATGCTGTTAAAGTACATGATATATTTGAAGGATAGTGACAATATGAAACTCACGAGTTTGTGTAATGAGGATCAATTCATGAAATAAGCTAATAGGTCAGGAAATAATTTATATTGAAGTCAACTCATCTTTGATAAATTTACTAAGCGATTGGTGAGAGTGTATCAGCAATAGCTCATTCCTTATAAAGCAAAGCAAAATGTAGAGCAGTTGATCTCAAAGATGTCCTCTCCTTAAGTGATAGATCATTCCTATATTCTATGAAAGCAAAAATCTATCCAACATGGCACTTTCTCAAAATGTATGTATTACATAGTTACAGGGTAACTATTTTTCCAGACATAAATTGCTATTCTTAAATAAAGCTTCTGATCTTTTATGCAAAACAAAGTGATACAATTCTTTATGATTTTAGAGCAACATGAGGTAAGCATCATTTTACTGTTTATTTTTATTGATAGTGGGGATCACCAAGAGTTTCATTCATGGAAACACTGAAGATTACAAAAAGCAGACTTTTCCTACCCTCTATGTCAAAAGTGATGATGTAATTATTAACTAGATTCATGTTTGTTTTGAATGTCACTGATTAAGTTTGACACTGATACTCAATGTCCTGTGTCACACTGACACTGATACACACAGATACCACCAACCTTCCTTATTGTGTAATAACTGTTTTTGATTCTTGACAATTAGAGAAAATATATATGAAAAACTTAACTAGATGTCAGTGTAACTCAGGAACCCTGTTACTCAAGTGATTTCTATTAAATTATCTGATATTGTCTCTATTGTCAATTGTACTGAGCCTGTTTTCCTTTTTCAGTGATGGAGAAGAGACGCTCAGACTTTTCCCTTTAGAAGGTATGGTAACACCACTGTGAATAACTGTGACATTAAGAAAATCTCATTGCATTACAAGTTCCTACATCTGCGACAGTTCTGGTTTTCCTTTCACCATTAGAAAGAAATGATCTGTGTCTTTCATGATTGTGTGGTACAGTGGTGAAGGACTTACAGGTAACTTATCTGTTTACTCATTTCAATGCATGAGTGAATATAATCAAAACACATTGTACAGATATATGAAATTCTCTACAAATTAACTAAAAATAAGTAAACCTTACCCCAAAGAGGGGAAAATGATGTATGAATGATATTGGTAGTTTTCTTACTTATATTCATCATTATGTATATTAAGGACTTGTAAAGTCTACACTATTGGGGACATATGTCCAAATATTCAATATAAAGAGGCATTTTTAATACATGATTAAACCTGGTCATGGTTGTGGATACATATATTTATAGCTTTATGAAGGAAACAGCAGAAGAATTGTGAGTTTGAGGCTGGCTGAATGAGACTAGACTGACACTTTGTCTAAAAAGAACCACAATTTGTAGAATCTACAAAATGACCTTAAATTTATAAATTCCCACTGGTTCCCAATGGAGATAAGAAATTTTGAGGAATTCTCTTGCATCTCTTCCTTAACTTTAGTACTTTTCAAGAACTGACACACGTTGAAGACACATTTTTCTTTTCTCTTTATTAGCAATATTTGTTCACCAACCAGTAATGTTAAGACAGAAACTCTAATGTGCACCCAGTAAAGGACAGGGGTAAACAATGTTTTTTATCTCTGTCATCAGAACAAAGTCTGCTTGGAAGACAGATTAAGTAATTTTCATTTGTTTAGCCAATGATGCCTCAGTTTGGCACCTACTGATTCATTGATTACATTATAAAAAGATTTTACTGCAATGTCACAATCATATCAGTAAGAAGAGACGGCTCTGATGGATCTAACTGTAGCCCTACTGGTGGGCCTCACCTGTCTGCTTCTTCTCTCTCTCTGGAGACAGAATCCTGGGAGAGGGACACTACCTCCTGGCCCTACTCCTCTTCCAATTATTGGAAATTTCCTACAGATAGACGTGAAGGACATCCGCCAATCCTTAACCAATGTAAGTGTGTTTTCTGCTCTTCCAATACTTTATAAAGGGAAGTAAAAGACACTTCTTCCAAATGAAAATATAGTAATGGATATGATCTTGTAATAAATGATCACTAGCAATAGTGCCCAAGATATCAATTTGTAATTTATGACCTCGGTTACTTACTTTGTGAAAAAATGTTAAACAGTCTTGCTGAATGATTTGATGTGATGATTCACTGTAATCTTTGTATCAAATGCCTGGACTATCTCATGGCACATTGTAGACTCTCCATAGTCATAATAACCATAATATGATATAGGTTTACATGGATTTCAGCAATATTTGAAGGTGAGTTTGCCTAATTGTAAACATTAAGATGCAATGATAACATCAGTAATAATGAGGTTAACAGTACAGAATATAGGCTGATGCTTTCTTGCTAGAATTTTCATTTTCTTTACTATTTCCAGTTCTCAAAAGTCTATGGTCCTGTGTTCACTCTCTATTTGGGCACACGGCCCACTGTGGTGTTGCATGGCTATGAAGCAGTGAAGGAAGCTCTGATTGATCATGGGGAGGAGTTTGCTGGAAGAGGAAGGTTCCCAGTGTTTGAAAAATCTAGTAAAGGCTTGGGTAAGTGTGTATGTTCAGGTGTGTTTGCTGAGCAGTGTTTATAACAAGGAAAAAGGTGGAAAAAGAGACCAAATTTGCTTCTCAGGTACAGGTTGGGCCTCTCTAGTTGATACCTGTCAAATCTCTCTTCTCCTTTGAGATCTAATTTCTAGTGTCTACCACTCTTTGTTTAGGACTTGTCTTTAGTAATGGGAACAGATGGAAAGAGATAAGGCGTTTCACACTCATGACACTACGGAACTTGGGGATGGGGAAAAGGAATATTGAGGATCGTGTTCAAGAGGAAGCCCAGTGCCTTGTGGAGGAACTGAGGAAAACCAATGGTAAATACAACTTTATAATCGAACTTTTACATTCTGTCTCCTTTTATTCCAAAGTCTTTTCCTTTTTGTGTATGAGAAATTATGAATATAATTTTCTTAATAATTTTCTTATGAATCATGAACTCTGAATTCCCTGTAGCACAAATGTAGTTTACCTCTTATCACTTCATTAGAGACTAACTGCTACTGATTGAAAATGTTGACAATGACATGTTCCATAGTTATGTGGGCCAAGTGAGATAATATCTGTTTTCATTTCATTGACCTACACTGGTCTACCCAGCTTCAATGACATGTCTAAGGTTTCCCCCAGGCCCATGTTTACAGTTCTGGCTAACAATAATGGTGCAATGTAAGGTTTTCATTTCTCATCTGAGTGAATATGTTTTTCTTTGTATTTATTATCTCCTCTCTCTCTCTCTCTCTCTCTCCCTCTCTCTCTCTCTCTCTCTCTCTCTCTCTCTCTCTCCCTTTTCAACCTTTTACGCATTTT